CTTAAAGCAGTATAGCCAAATACCCTTTTTGGCCCTGCCCCTCAGCCCCCTGGGGGGTCAGCCACACCATTTGTACAATTTTAAATCCCTGCCTCCCAGGAATGCTTTTGATCAAATATGATTGATATCCAGTGCACAGTTCTACAGAAGAAGTCGTTTGTAGCAATATAGCCAAATTGCCCCCTTTTGGCCCCGCCCCTTAGCCCCCTGGGGAGTCAGCCCCACCATTTGTACAATTTTTAATCACCACCACCTAGGAATGCTTCCAGTCAAATATGGTTGATATCCACTTCTTAGTTTCAGAGAAGAAGTCGCTTAAAGCAATATAGGCAAATTGACCCCTTTTGGCCCCGCCCCTTAGCCCCCTGGGGGGTCAGCCCCACCATTTGTACAATTTTGAATCCCCACCACCTAGGGATGCTTCCATTCAAATTTAGTTTAATTCCAACGAGTGGTTAAGAAGAAGAAGTCGTTTAAAGAAATTGTTGACGTACGGACGTACGGACGTACGGACGACGGACGCCACAGTATGGCATAAGCTCACCTTGGTCTTTCGGACCAGGTGAGCTTATAAAAAATAATGTATCAAGAGTATTATGCCCTTCTTTCATATGTCCACAGAATAACATAACATATCTTAAAAACTACATGTGGCTTGACATTGTTTTAGAAAGAAATAACGGAACCTAGCAGTAGTCAGCATTTTAGTTTCGGTCAGGTACGTATGGACCCCTCAATCTACAAGTTCCAAATTTTCCTGAGGTCAGCCTCAGTTCAGATCTGTACCTGTCGTTTTCTTTACAGGTTCAACCCTAAATGTTTATGATTTGTATCGGTTACGTTTTGTGAATTTTATCTTTATTTTTGGCTTTATTCATCTTTAAGGTGCTAACTGCACATACATTTACCAACTCAGGCTTTGTTGGAAAGATCAAGACTTGTGAGAAATTTCACATGTAATCGACTCTCAGAAGAAAATATTTTCATAGACTAAAAAATGACTATTTCATAGCTTACTTCTGTACCATACGGTGTGTTCATTCTGTTCGCTAGGAAACCTTGGCAGGATTTTACAAGTATTGGGACCTGAAAACAATAGAAAATTTGTATCAACATCCTATTATTGTGATAATTGTGTGTATTGATATACTGTTATCAAAGAAATGGTCAGAAAACAGTGTTTGCAGGGCAATTTTATGGTTTTAATAAAAGCTAAATATCCATAGTTTCAAAATTTTGTTTGCAAGAAAAGACTAGTTAAATATTTCATTTGTGGGGATAAGATTTATTCACAATTCACAAACCAGTACTTTCACAATATTGAAGTAAAAGATTTTTTTGGTATTACATTTTAATAATTTAGTATTAACCTTTTATTTCAGAAGTATTTTGATTGTAAGGTTCAATAAGTATTTAAGAAACAAATCTAAAAGACAATGGAACAAATCCTATGATAGCTCAATAATGTATAACAATGCTTTATAAAATCGTCAGTAAAAAACCTCGTTGACTTACCTTCCCGATTGTCTTGCCGAGTTTCATCACTGTAGCAGCCGTGTCTGGTGACGTTTTTGTGCTGTAAATATTCTCCAGCAGTTTCATGTGATAGGCCGGGGCAAAGAAATGGACACCAACACACTTCTCTGGTCGCTTGGTTGCTACGGCAATCTATTATAGAACACTATATTTGTAAAACATGTGGATTAATTAGGTTGCAACTGCGTCAGCTGTAGGGAATTTCCCTTTAGCTCAGTGGTAGAGCATCGGGCTGGAGAGCCAAGGGTCGCGGGTTGGAGCCCCAGCGACGGCACTATCTTTATCACTATTCCTGGTCCTACTACATATCTATAGAATACCTTATTCTAAGACAAACATCAGATATACATTTGCGAAAGATTTAGATAAAACCATGTTAAGTACTTTTTGCAATAAACTCTCAATGACTGTTGGACATGAAGAGGACAAATTCAGTACTACATGTACTTATATTTTCTGTACTTTGTATACAAAAACAAGATCTTTATTTACGCCAAAAGAGACAGCTTTTACAAAAACAGTGATTTTAGTGTTTAATTCATGGTAGTAAAATTGAAATAACCAAGAAATTTGAGTGCTAAATTTAAAAACAGCTTATATTGATTCTGAGAAATTTAGATACCTACCCTATCAATGTCTATACTGGAGGTGTTTGAACACAAAATGGTGCTTGGTTTGCAAACTTTGTCCAACTTAGCAAAAATTTCTTTTTTCAATTCCAGGTTTTCATAGACAGCCTCAATCACCTGACAAACAAAATAAATAAAAAGATTAATAAAGGATATGTAGGTACTTACAATGTAATGGTTTCCGGTTTCCTGTTTCCCATTAAATACCAATACTGATATTTTGAACAAGTGCAGTTTAAAAGTAACCTATTTCTATACTACATTACAATGAAGGAAACAAGACAAAGTGTTTGAAAGGCAATCCACAGTACCCTAACAGTAATGATTTCTTTATTTACCAAGCTGTACACCTATATCTCAAGATATAAGTAACAGTGACACACTTTTTGTACCCTGCACTCCGCCAGCCAAGGCATATGTACCTGCATACTAAACCTGGTATCTCCAGGTGAAATAGTATAGAACTTGAAGACATATACTCCAGATAAACTTTTGCAAAGGATACAGTCAAAGGTCAAAGCATAGGTCATAGTGATCTACATTTAATATATGACAATCAGCCATCCCAAGCTGTACATTTATACCAAATATGATTGCTCCAGGTGGAAAAGTATTGAAATAGGTATAGTATGCCTAAGACAGAAGGATGGATGGAGTGCAAACGTATAGCCCTACCTTGGAACTGGTGGGGGACGTAAAAAAGACAATTTAACAATATTTTTCTGTCACAGAAATCAAAATAATGTATTCCTTAAGACACACAAAATCACTTTTGATCTACCTGCATGCACGGTTAAATTCTAATATGAATACTGTATACTAGATTGTCATTGTTATGACTACAGTTGTGGCGAGTTCTTTACCAGGTCGACACCGGTGAGGTCGTCATAGCTCATGGTCGGTTTAAGGAGAGATGCCGCTCGCTGTCCAACCTCAGGTGAAATTTTTCCCAGTTTGACACTGCCCTCCATTAAGGCCTTAATAGTTTTCAGCCCATTTTCCAAAAACTACAACAAAGACAGCACAATGAACACAGTTTCAAATATAGGTAAGGGAAAAATTTAAATAAATTTTACCAAATCTTTCACTTTGCAACTCATGTACAGTCAACAAACCTAGCTGTTTCTTAAAACAGGTTCAGTTCACAATGAAATAAATAGTGGCAAAAATTAAAAACGGTCTCTTAACTCATTCACAGGCTGTTCTCTTGATAGTGGTGCTCACATTATATATATATAATTAACAGAATGAAAACAATATCAAGAGAGGTTGGAGATCAAAGATTTTTCCAGAAATCACAACTGTCCTTTAACCCATTCAACCCTATGTAACTTTAGTAGACTCTACCATGCATTGCTATGGATGAGTCCATTATGGTCTACAGTGTTGAAAGGGTTAAACAAAAAAAAAGTGCTTTAGTTGAAGCGTTAGAAAATTCAATGTCCTCCAAATGGGCTCGGAATGGTAATTCATAGTGAGGTCCTACACTAGTAATATACCTTCTGGTTCTGTTCCACTAGATAACATGGAAGGCCTGCACTAAGGATACACACAGCTATCCCAGTCCCCATAGTTCCAGCACCGATGACCGCTGTGGACCGCACTGGTATTGGCTTGGCTGTTTGAGAGTTACCGCCCGGCATTTCCCACTACAAATATTGTAACATTTCAAGTGTACTTGTACATACAGAAGTTGAAAGGTGATAAAATTATTCAAACCTTTAAAAAAAAACAAGAGGTCCAGTGGGCATGTACTTGTTTTTATAGACTGATTAGAACCGGCAAAGGAATATACATCTACATTACAGTATATAGTAGGGGCAATATTTCAGCATACAAAGACACTACTTAAACACAAAATAGCTCTTATTAAAAGTTGAGGCAATAATATCAATTTTAAAATCAAAAACTACGGACTTCTATTCCTTGAGGGAGAGTCTTGAATATAGGTCTTACCTTGCCCACCACCCTCTCTGCAAAGAAGGCATACTGCTGAGCACGTGCTTGGCCAGACTTTCCGACTACATTGAACAGGGTTTTCTCGTTTTCCACTCCTAAGTCGTACGGTTTTTCTGCAGATGCCCGCACAGCTTTGACACAGTACTAAAACAAAACATAGGCAACCTCAGTTAACAGTTTCATTGTACACACTATTTACCATTAACCCTTTCACCCCTTTGTAACTTGAGTAGACTCTTCCGTGCATTGATCTAGACCTACAGTGGTGAAAGGGTTAATTAGCTATCAATCCAAATTTTGCAAAAAAAAGAAATTATCTTAAATGTATAGTATAAAATTACCTCACGATAAGCTAATGTTGGCTAAAGAAAAAGTTTGAGTTAAATAAGCAATTTTCATAATATAACCAACAAGAGGCCCAGCTGGCCTGTATCGCTCACCACCTGGCCATGAATATGTTTAAAATACTTGATATGAGTTTAAGATATGGCACTCCATGGTAGGTACTGTATGTACATATGACATTTCAGAAAGATCCATCCAGTATTTTTGGAGATATAGCGAGAACAAACTTCAAATGTCAAAATCTAAGATGGTGGCCTGGTGGCCATCTTGTTTTAATGAATACACCCTAATAATAACAGGCACTACTAGACAACTTGATAAAGAGAAAATTGTGATAAAATCCTGTTATCCCAAGCCAGACATCTATCGGTCAAAATGTCGAAGTCTGGTGTCAGGGCCAGAGGAAACTCGGGCTACCTTTTTATACCTACGGTAGAAAAAGGATTTAAACGTTTTCCCCCTATTTCCCCTATTGGGTCCCTCTCCTCTGCCTCTGGGGGGGGGGGGGGGGGGGGGCACCAACTGTTTATACAAAATAGAGTTCCTTAATTGGCCTAAGGATGCTCCAGATCAGATTGGGATGAAATCCCTTTTAATCCCTATGGTAGGAGAAGGATTTTAAAGGTTTTAAAGGTTTACCTCTATTTCCCCTACTTGGCCACACCTCTCTGCCCCCAACTGGGCCCCACCTACCATTTATATAAAATTGAGACCCCTTGGGCCAAAAATGATCCAGACTAGTTTAGGATAAATTACCTTTAACCCTACGCTAGTAGAAGGATTTTAAAAGTTTTACCTCTATTTTCCCTATTGGGCCCTACTCCTCTGCCCCTATGGCGGGCCACACCAACCGTTTATACAAAATTGAGTCCCCTTAGACCAAGGATGCTGAATTCAGACTAAATAAGAATACATTCCCTTTATCCCTACAGACTGTAATGGCAGCAGAAGGATTTTAAAGTTTTACTTCTATTTCCCCTATTGGGCCCCTCTCCTCTACCCCTGGGGGAGGGGGCACACTCACCGTTTAAACAAAATTTAGAGCCCTTGGCCTAAGAATGTTCTAGACAAAATTGGAATGAAATCCCTGTATCCCTATGGTAGAAGATGTGTTATGGCGTAAGCTCACTTGCCCTTCGGGCAGGTGAGCTAAAACATTGGCAGTTTAGAACTAATTCATAGATTTAAGTTTATTGATTTAGAAAGAAGAAACATATATTTGACCCCCACAGAGTTAACTTGGCATATTGTGTAAAGATATGATTAACAGGAAAGTGTTGCTGTTTTACCTATTTTCATCTTCCAATATAACCAAAAATACAAAATTACATTGAATGTGATTTAAATCCTGTTTATAATGTAGAGAGTACAGTTGTATTACATTTAACATACCACTGGGGCCTCATATCCTTTGTACTTCCTCTTCACATGAGCCATGGCAGCTGTAGTAAAACAAAACAGACATATACAATCCATCCTGTAACTCATTTACCCCTGAAAACACATTTGAACTCTTCCAATTCATAAGTTGGAATAGCTCATTATGAAATTTCAGGGATGAATGAGTTAATAATAAACTTTGAGAAAGGCGATGTCACTTGAATTTTTCGCAGTTTAGTTTATAATACTTGTTAGATGTTGTAATTAGCATTTCATTAAATTAAACTCTTGTTTCATTATAGCATCTATCTCTAGTTTGATTTACGTTTGTTTTCATATTGAATTTTATTTTGTTTGAGAAATCTCAGGTTATCTGACAAATGAACTTGAATTTTCTTAATGTGAGAAATTGTTTAATCTAAGACATATTTCAAATTTGACCTGAATAACGAACATTCGGGATTAATGACAAAACAAAGGTATAACCTGTTACAATTTATCTGTTATAGGAGATTGCAGATTTCTGACAATTGCCCAGGTAAGAGTGCTGTACAGAATTCAAACCATATTTAAAATCAAACGAAGAAACTTTAAATGTTTTTACAAAATTAAAGCTGTATTAGTATAAACATATTTCTACCATCAGCATATTTCTGGACATTTTCAGCATCAGGTACCGGTTTGGCACGTAGTCTTCGTGGGATAGTGGACTTTCCGACCATAATCATGGCATACCTAATGCCAGCATTCACGATATCTCCGGTTACAATCTGTAAGTAATCAAAAATAATAAGGATGTCATTCATTTAATAAAAAAAAAAAAAAAATCTTGACGGTGAAAAAAGGTACCATGAAGTAATGTCAGGGTTACTTCCCTTACCATGAAGTAATGTCAGGGTTACTTCCCTTGAGAGAGTATCAGTTTGATAGGTAAACGTGACTTACAAATGTAGCTACAGTATTACTTACTATTAGCAGAAAATAAGCAGCATCAGCATCAACTCCAGGTTTCAGTTATATGGATATTTTATTTGGTTGGCTTATTTCAGACGACTTAAATTAGCCAACAGTTAGGTACAGTATATACCCCCTCTGACAGAACAGAAGCAATATTGAATACAATTTTAATGTACATGGATAAGGAATATATGTACAGTTACATATTTAAACCTGATTAATGAACAATAAATCATATCTTAAAGGACAAAATTTACTCAATAAAACACTTGCTTTTTTTTAGCAGGAGTTTCCTTAACACCTAAAGTGTTAAGGGAAAGGAGAGCTAGCCACTTGAACTATACGTTCTCGTTTTTCCCCATTTATACTGCAGGAACATATTCAAATGTTGCTTTAACAGAAAGCATAGAATTTTCCATTAAGTTGTGCAGGTAATTACCACTTAATGTAAAAAAAAACATTAATGCACATCCCTTTTTGTAATATTTGCACATCCCTTTTTGTAATATTTTACATTAAGGAGTGATCTGGTACAACCCATAATGTAAAAAATCCTTTTTACATTAAACAAAACATCAAAATGGGTATGTTGTGAGAATTTGTAATTGTGTTGTGACAATTTTTAATGCAAACAAAAAGAAAATCACATCGTAGCATGAAAAGGGTGAATCACATCCCTTTATGTAATATTTTTTACATGAAGGATACATTTTACTTTAAGAGTGTAGCCACAGTGCCATTAGACCTTCAGCATTAATGATTAATTGTGTAATACACGGCAATGCTAGTTTTAAGTAGCGTAGTCAGGATCAGGCTAGGATATACTTGTTTAATTGTAGCCCACCTCGTCAATGATTCCATATTTCTTGGCCTGCTCTGCTGGAACATGACGCCCTGATGTTATCATATCAAAGGCTACAGGTAACCCTGTAACGCGGGGCAGTCTCTGGGTCCCTGCAGCACCAGGCAAAATCCCAATGGCAACTTCTGGAAATCCAACCCTGTAAAGATGTTAAATGTACTTGAATATTTATATTTATTAAACAAAATAAAACGATTATGTAAAGTACCTGTTTTTGTTTTGTTAAACTAAGGCCAGTTGTTTAATATTGAATTACCTTAAACCTTTCACCCCTATGTAACTTTAGTAGACTCTACCATGCATTGATATGGATGAGTCCATTATGGTCTATAGTGGTGAAAGGGTTAATCAAGAGTCATTAACATGATTTTTTAATGTACAATTATTAATTAACACAGGCCTCTCAAAATTTCCACTGGCTTTACTTGTGGTTTAATATTGAATTTAAATACCTTTGAAAACTTCCTGGATGAAACGTTTGTGTTAAATTGTTATAAAACTAATAAGGATTTGGACAACTGCTAGCTGACCACACTGCAAACCTGCAGTAATGTCATCCTATAATATTTAATTTCAACAAACATTAAAATTCAACAATCTTTTTTAACCAACACTCCCCCTATAATGATGAACAATGGACATCATTTTGACCACCTCCAAGACAGGTACAACAGCATCCTCGATACTTCAGGGGTTACACTCATTTATGCTCTCTGCATCTCCGGAATATGTCATAGTGAAATCTAAGACTCGGTGTGCACCACCTTTTGATGAGACAAGAAGACTAGTTTGATCCTTTGATTTACATCAAAAGAGTCTTGCGGTAAAAATTGACTGACTTTGAAGTCGTGTCACCCCTTTGTAATCTTCAAAGGACATGTAAAAGCCTAGCAATTGGTCAGGTTTCTCTACCTGAGACCAATCAAATAGCCAGCCACGTGCCTTCAATTTTGCTATGACATATTCCAGGGGTGCAAAGAGCGAATGTGAACGTAACCCCTGGATATCGAGGATGGTACAACAGAGGATTTACTTTGGTAGTGACTTACCTAACAAATGTCGTTCTTTGGACATTCCCAAAGAGATGTTGTGTTTGAAATGACTTACCTGATGTGCCTGAGTACCAAAGTGTAGCAACATTATAGTGATACTTCTAGACCACCTCCCAAACAAATACTATTTACCAGGAATTTAGTGACGTTATTACCTTGCAGTCTTGAGTGCCACCCTGTAGTGACAGAATAGTGCTGCCTCTAGACCACCTCCCAAACAAGTACTATTTACCAGGAATCTATATAGCTAGTAACTTACCTTTCAGAATTGAGTGCCACCCTGTAGTGACAGAATAGTGACGCCTCTAGACCAGCTCCCAGACAGGTACTATTTACCAGGAATCTATATAGCTAGTAACTTACCTTTCAGATTTGAGTGCCACCCTGTAGTGACAGAATAGTGCTGCCTCTAGACCACCTCCCAGACAAGTACTTTTATCAGGAATTTAGTAACTTACCTTTCAGATTTGAGTGCCACCCTGTATTGACAGAATAGTGACGCCTCTAGACCACCTCCAAGACGATTATTATTTACCCTGAATGTAGTGATCGACTTACCTTGCAGACTTGAGTGCCACCCTGTAGTGACAGAATAGTGCTACCTCCAGACCACCTCCCAGACAAGTGCCGTGGATGGCAGCTACCACTGGTTTACCGCTAGCCTCAATACCATTTCCCACAGGAACCAACCAAGGCTCTGATTGGGAAATCAAGGTTTTAATTTTTAAAACAATATTTTTAGAATGTATATGGCATGCATCTGTTTTTATCATTTCCTGATCTCAACTTTTTTAGGAAAACATAACTGAACTTTCATTAATCATGCACTTTGTATGCTTTTACTTCAAAATTGCTTTCTACATTGATTTGTTGTTTTGCTTCTTATTTATTTTCTCTATAAAGTAATAAACTATATCCCAGATTATGCCCCGACTTCAAATTCCAGGGAGTTAGTCCTCAGTCAGCAATGTGTTAGTCTGAAAACTAAAACATCTCTGCAGACTAACTCCCTCTGCAGAGTCCAGGGGTGCAGATTGACAATCTCCTTTTACAAAATATCTGTAACTTCTCATTAACACAAATGAGCCAATCAGACCAGAGGAGGACAGAGCTCTTTCTGACGGAATTCCAACCTAGCTAACATTATAGATCTAGAAGAATGAGGTATATGTAAGGTCAACCTTTTTTGTTTATTTTCAAGGATATAAATATCATTTTCTCACATCCAAGTGGTAGCATTGTTTAAATGTCTTTAATTTGCATGATGTATAAAATTTAAAGATACTGATTCAGGAAATAAGTGCTGCATGTTAGGAAGTAATTTAGTGGTGTTAGCTTTCATAATATAGGATATAGTCAGTTTGATGTAAAATAACCGCTACGTGTCAATTTTGACATGGGACAACTTATAGATGGTGTAAAGAAAATAGTATTTACTGTCAAAAGTCAACTAGAATTTAATACAAAACGATACTCACCTTTTCCTGGACCACTGAACTCCCTAATGTCCGCTCCAGCTGGAAATGTTCGTCCCTTCCCTGCTATGACAATGGCCTTGACTTTTGTATCCTTTGTTGCCTTTAACATCCCATCAGCCAGACCTTTTCTGACAGCATGACTGAAAAAACCCATACATATGATATGTACATATAATGTAAGACCTATGTAGATAAATTAGGTCTATCTACATGTAACCCCATATGACATGAAATATATTTGTTATACCGCTGAACGAACATGACCCATACATGCATTGTATGCTGTTTTTAATGTACGTGTGATTCTATGGTTGACTTCTAGCTTCGTGCTGGAAGGAACTTCCCTTTAGATAATTTGTTTGCTCGATAGACTGTTATAAGTTATTTATAAATCATATCATGTTCATAATTAACAAGTTGCAAAAATGGTTTTAACATGCACATTCACTTGATTTGAATTAATTAGACATATATAATTATATGGAAGGCATAATAGTCCCTACATATGTATAAACCAATAGCCACTTGGTCTGCAATGATAACCAGGGGGCCATTTTTGCCTAGTAAGTCAGACGAGGTACAAAATTTTACCTAGTGGTCAGCAGTTTTTTAGCAGAATATATATTCAAGGGATATGTTTTTCATTTTACAAAAGAGCTTGAAAAAGTACTTCAATGCCTTAATTAACACAGTTGTTATAATTAGCCAATAGCAAGCTAAGTAGTGTATGTACCTGTAATGTGAAAACATCCAGCCACTGACTGCACTGAATGATACTAAATTTACTTATACGCACATAAGCGGTGTCGTAGAATTCCACATTATCATATTATAAGCAGTACTATAGTGCTCTCTGGCCCAACACCAGACATCTACATGTATGTTACCAGGCTAGTTAAGAGGGACCCGAGTTACACTAGTAACTGTTCCCTTCTCCGAGAAGTCTCATCGTACGTGAGACTCATTAGTGGCCTGGGGAATCCTGAGGGTGCTGCCAGTGTAATGGAACCAACGGATATGAGGTAGTATATGTCACTTGCCCTATTTCATTCATGTTACCTGTTACCGAGCTTGAGACTCGCTGCCTGATTAAGGTCATTCACGCCCGAGTACATGATATGACACTGCCACAAAATGTGCAACCATCCTAGAGCAATTGAATAACCATTCTCCACATTGGTATTAAACTTTTGAACATGTCCATGATAATTGTTATATTATAACCACATAACTGGAAAAGCTAACGAAGGCAGTATTTTTCCATCTTTGGCTGAGTTGGACATGCCTGACATGGTCAATTAATCAATAAAGTACGTACTACAGCTACATTGTACATGTATAAAATGCACATGTCAGAATTGCCATAAAAGGGTAAATTTTAAAGACTTAATATTAAACTAAATATAGATATCTATACTAACAGGGTGGAGGTTATTACATTTTCTAAGCTTCACAAATTAAAAGATGCATTGTAAGAAGTGAAGCAGCACTGTCAGTAGGAGTACACTGCCAGCACTAGAGAAAGTGAAAGTGAGATCAAATACAGCAGTTTTAACTATTTGTTTGCGTTAGTATTACCTGAGGGCGTTGACAGGCGGATTGTTCACGAGCAGGAGGGCGACAGAGCTGTTGACACTGTAGTCGACCATGATGGCAGCTTATGCAGTCACATAATGTGACCCTGATACTGTCTAAAGTCTCCCTTATCTGAATTTGACAGTGACCCACTTTTTGACCCCGATCTCGTTTACCTGGAAGTAATCTGTATTACGTTGTTTTTAGGGACATGCTTTCCTGATTAGGCCTATTTGTTTTCTTTTATATAAGTTAATATTGTTTATACTCGAAAATTCCGAATAAAAATACAGAAAATGCCAGAAATATAACAACAAAAATTCCCCCTTAACCTAAATATAACAACCATGTTCAGTATGCTCCAAATTTGTCTAATGTTTCGAGCAGCGTGAACCTTTTGTAGGTAAATCTTGTACGTCGCTCCCGCTCCCGGACTAAAACCCCGTACCAGGAATATAGAGATATTTTAATATCTCATTAACGCGATCGTTTCTATTTTTTTTATAAAATTATGCAATAATTTCAAACATCATTTTCTAAATGCGACAGTTATAAAATGTATATTTATCATCTAATAATTTAGAAATCGACGATAATGTGTATTTCAAGGGGGTAAAACTTGTACGCCGCGTTCAACCACGGTTTTTCATATATTATTAGAAATTGAGTGAAAATTAACATGTTATTTTCAAACGTTTAGAAAAAAATATATTACTGTTTATACTTATGTAAGTGTCGTTGAAATAAACGACCTATTTCACATGAAATTCGGACTTTGTTGTGATCCTCCCGTACCCGTGCTAAGGGGACATCACTCTGTCAAGCTATATCGTTATCAAGTAGAACTCTTAGCCATTCTTTTAGAATGTACCATCCTCTGTGACGAGGACGCAGTTCTACATAAGAGCCCATTTTTTTAAAACTATATTTATATAAGATTAATAATAGTTCACAAAATAAGAATTCATAAACATCATTATGATTGGTTATCATTAGAAAAAATGGCTATTTTTATAATAACTTTAAAAAATTGTTTTATGATTGAAATAATTGTGTTCTTTTTTCAAAAGGAATTTTAAGTTTACTCACTACACATTTTAACTTTGAATAAATACAAATACATTAAAAAATACCAAAAATACTTCTGACTTTTATGTCTGTTTTATGAACACTTACCACACTTCCAAATAAAACTATCCCTAGAAAATGTAAATCTGACCGATCAATTACACGTCTATTATGTCACAGCCAGCATCACAAGAAACCATATCATCAAATACATTTGAGATGTGACACCCATCTGCTTTGCAATCAATAAAAATATCAAATGATAAAGATATCTTCTTTTGCCTATGCCTACTCATTTTTTTCCTAGGAAATTTAGTAAAGATTCCATTGGAAATACATTCCACAAGATGTTGTCTCATGCAAGTGGTGTCAAACTCTAACTCTTCACTCCCGTTTAACCCACTGAAACAAAATTCTTCCAAGTTAATAATAGCAAAAAAAAACCACAGTCAACCCCGTTTTTCTGTTGATGTACATTTGGTAATACTGTTTTTAAAACTTTTCTATTTTCCCCATATGATGATGACAATTGCATTTCTAAAGAAGCTGACAAATGACCCTTCTGTTTCGTATTTTCTATCAAATTATCAAGAATGTATACTTCCCACTATCTACCTCCTGTACTGACACTTCCCAATGGTCCTCACCTGTATGATTAATTTGTGTTGATGCGGCGCAAGTTGGTTTCATTCTGAGTGCATAGTCCCACTTATTGTTTTTCAAAATTGGAGCATAACCTGTATCTTGCATTCCGCCTATATTAGGAAACTGTTTCTTTAAATTATCTTGTACGTGACACATGATATTACCACATAGTTTGTTATCAATTCATATATCATTTTTATCCTTAAAACTTAGCGTACTTTTACCGTTATCCATCCAGATACGTCTTGTTTCTGTGGGCTTAACAAGCGACGGTCTGTCATCTGAAAGATCAACTAAAATATCACATACAATGTACCTTCGGTTTGTTCTTTTTTGATAATGAAAGTCTTCTTATCTGTTTTAACTTAGGACTGGTACTTACAACTGGTTCATATAAACTTACACCATCACTACATTGTATGTCTGCTACTGACTCAGCCATAATACTTACGTCTTTTGTATCTTCTTTTTCTTCTTTTATATTTGACAATCTCTTACGAGTAAAGAAAGTCTAGACCTAGGTTTTGGTTTTCTTGGAGTACCAATATCAGAAATATCGTGGACAGGAATTGACTCTTATTTCACTGGAGAAGCCAATGTAGCACCTGGAAGTGAACACATTATGTTTGATTCACCTAAATTAGTTAACTTACTGTCTGGTGCTGGGACTATATCATTCTCCATTCTATCACATGGTCTCGGTCGTTTCCTACTTGCTTTCTTGTCTGGTCGCTTTCTTGCATTACGCCTAATTTAGCCATATATGGAGTTTCTCTTACCTATGTCATCTATGCATATACTAACTTTGCAGCAATAATATGATAGCATGAACGTACCAATCGATGGACACTGACATTGCTCTTTAGGATGTAACTGAACTGCGTACTTATATCCCTGTGACCCTTCAACTATAAATGTCCTGGCAAATGGACATGGGTTACCTTGTTATCCTAAGTTAAGAGCGGCAACTGCTAAAGACCTTTGTGAAGTTTGTTTACTTACTTGTTGAATCTCGGACGCTATACCATTTGCTAAACTAGCTACATCTTCATCGCTTACCTCTTCGTTTACCCGGAAGTTACTGTGTCTTTGTCATTGATCTTACCCTTAACTAAATCTAATACATCATCAGGATGCCAAACACCATTTGAAAACTGTACATCATCAAGGTCTAGCTGAGCACTTTTATAAATAGCCTTAAGTCCAATTCCTGTAGGAACTCTATCTAAATCAGATATTTATAACGATAGAGTCTATCGTTATAAATCTCTGATTTAGATAGAGTTCCTACAGGAATACCTTAAGTCTATAAGTTTCTGTTCCAATTAACCCTCTCTTAATCTATCTGTATCCGAGCGGAAATGGTCCGTATCCGATCACAGAGCTGCTGGAATCGTTCGAGGACGATATGTACTGAATCACGAGTCTGAATTTAATTTAATTTATTAGGTTGTTACCACCACAATGAATGACAATGAACAACCTCCTCGATCACGTCCCACATCGCCTCAATGCGATAGCCGGTCCTGGAGATAACAAAACCCAACAAAAATATCATCACATGGACGCAATTACTTATAGTGCAAGTACTTGGCCTGTGAGTGACCGACTACAAGTGTAGACATGGTAAGAAACTGAATATCATGCATATTGAAGTATCTTTATATTGCTGGTAGGACGGGGTTCTAGCCCGGGAACGGGAGCGGCGTACAAGAATTACCTACCACCCATTTTATGGTTTACCTTTCGAGTCTCTCTGGAATAAACTATCTTCGGATGGATAACACGAGAGAAGTTACGAGAGCTTGTTGCAAACGTTTTGTAACACTTTGACCTAATTACTAAGAAAAGTGACACAGGATACCAAGTCATTGATGTCGAAGAAACTGCTGTCATGTTTCGGAAGGCGTAAAGATAGGACAAGTAGAGTGATGGCATCAGAATCGATTCACGCGTATAGTGCTTTGCCTAACAGCGGAAATAGGGAATGTCAACAAAAGCCTTCTCTAGTGTCACAGTTTTCCAAAGAAGTCACCGATTTTAGTTCCCAGTATGGCAGTGAGACAAGCATATCATATACCGCGTGTAATCTGGCAGGGCGGAGCAACATCTACCCAACGTACGGAGACTTTACACAAGCTTGTGTATTTGTAAGTGTTATTGAAAGTGAAAGGAGGAAAAACAAAATGAAAGCTTCAACTTACCGAGTTTTTTTGTAGCCTCGAGTCAGGACATACCGGTATAAAGGCGTGTGATACTCAGACGTTTCGGTACTGGTATGAGATGTTTTGGAAGGCCAACTTCCAAATGTAATTTCGTAGGATTGTAAATGTAATATGCCACTTAGAAGTACCAATTTATGACCAACTTTAACAGGTATAAATTAGACATATGTGATTGTTTGCTGAATTTGGCTCATGAGATCAATTGGAGTTGGGGATGGGTTTGCTTTCCTCAGCTCACAGCTGTGGCAATTGAACAATATAGCAATGCTACAGGTAATGTCTTTGAATTCATGAGCAAGAGTTAGGACATAAGGGTACGTAAAACAGGAAAGAGAATAGTGTGCTTCCACATATGGAGAAATGAGGGCCACTTTTCCTCATGAATATTAATGAGGGGCGGAGCATGTTTGATCACGTGATCATCAGAGTTTTTCCGCGCCACCATGGCAACCAACAGAAAAAAAATGTTCCCAGGCTCATTTTAGTTACGATTTTGGCGTATTTTAAGACAACTCTGTATAATAAAATTAACCAACTGGTCACATTGAACGAGATATATCGAAGATAATGGGAACGGTAGTTACATAACTTCTTAATATAAGGAAAAATATAGAATATATAACTAGACAGCTGTCATTCTTGCACATGCTATACTACCGATGAAGGAGCATAAACAATGTGCATTTAGTACTTGTTACGTCTACAATATATACAAATCTTATTTTATTTATATGTAAGAAGACATTTAGGATGTTAGTTGTGAAATATTAACCTACAAAATCCTCGTGGTTAACGAGAAGTTGGTGTTTAAAAATCAGAAATTTGCGAAAGTTCAAGGGGCCCCGGAAGGGGTAATGCAATTCAACTGCACGTGTGGTTTTAAGCTAAAAGTCCACCAAGTGAATCTATAGCCTTTAAGTTGTGATCAAACTTGTGTACAAAATTAAAAGGTGTGGTATCATAGAAAAGTTGCATAATTAGAATAAAACAAGACCAAATATGACGATTGCAATCTCATATATATTGTAGTAGTACAGTTAGTATACGTGATACAAAGATTCTAAAACAATAAGGAGGGAATAATCACGGGCTGACGGATGTTACTATGATATACTGAGAACTATGTATATTTATCTGTAACAGATGAGGGGTTCAAGATGTGAACCAGACTATATTATCGGAGGCTAGGCTGGAATACCAGCTCTTTTTCAAATGTTGAATTTAAATATAGTTAGTTGGAACGACTGATAAATTTACATATTTTATTCAACAATAAGGCAGACGGATTGACTTATCAATTAAAAAATATAACAACATCGATCAGCTTCAAGTACATGTATCATTATGCTTTAATTTTTTGTCTTGAAAATCCGTTTTTGCTCCTATATATTGACGTATAAAAATTATGAGGTGATCGAGCACGTACGTTCATATGTGATACCAACTTAGAATCAAAGATTGTCTACATATTTATTAAACAACGTTGTCTGAAACAGGGACAAACTTTATATCACGGCATGTTCTGGAAAAAACACCTAAAAAGAAATATTAAATAATTTACATATAAGATGTAAGATCAGTGAGAAGTTGTAAGCTATGTTTTTCGAATCACTAGGCCATTCGTGTACAATAGCATTCTTGTAATTCTACCCACAATAATATATATCAAATTCAGTTTATCTGAAAGGATTGAATAAGTAAGTATTTTAAATGAATCCTTTTGGTGCCTCTTTCATGTCGAGAGAGTGTCACAAAAACATGGAGACTCCTTTCACTTTCAGAAGAATACGATGTTTTTACATAATCCCCTATGGTGCCCCTTTGATTTTATGTCAGATTTAAGAAAATCCACTTTTCAAATGCTCCAGGAACCTCGGATATTGCAAATATTCTTAAAACACCGTATAAACTGTGTTTTTCTAAACCGGAAGTTACCGAGCGAATCTCGGCAACTTATCTAGGTCATGGAGACAGCATCGAAAAATTCGATCGAAAGTGCAGAAAATGGCTATTTGGTCGTTTTCCAGTATTCGATTGCATAGAACATATAGGCGCCCTCGCTTCATAAGTTCATCCACTCCAGGAACCTCGAGTTTTTAATGGATCGCGCTAATTAACTTGTAACCCATATTTAGACGGTGTGTAGGGAAATTTGACATCCCGGCAAATAATATCCAGATTACTATCCAGCCTATAAACGCAAAATCTTAAAGCCCATAGTGTTATCCCAATGTCCAAATGGCCGCCATTTTATCCAAGATGGCGGATTATGCACATTAGCAAAGTTACCGTCATTTCTCCATGGCGGTTAATTTGACTAGATTACACGATTTCCCCTTTAAACAATCTAGATTATAATTGAAAAGGACCGGTACGTTAATTAACACATCATTATAAGTGTCTCCGTTTAGTATACATTGTATAAAATGTTATCACAGTTTACTGATTAACATTAGTTAATTGAAAAATCTATCGAGGCCGACAAGCCGACTGTCCCTGCGCTGTGAAATCACCAAAAATTATTGGTTGGTCTGAAACGTCAATCACACCTCAGCACTGTCATAATGGGCGGAGCTTACGCAATACACCGCATCATGCGACTGATTAGATGGTGTGTATCGTCGAGGTGCCGCCCACTCAATTCCCAAAATTTTCGTATTTTTTTTTGTGCTTCAGTGTAGAAATGAAAAATAAAAAAGACGGTTGTATTTAATTATGAACAGAATGAAAATATTGGTCCTTACAAGTTTACACTTTAAATAAATGTTTGATATGGTTTCTCCTACCTGTAACATTGACCTCGCTAATTTCAAGGTACCTAATCTTATTTTATTCCGTGTGTATCAATCGGAGACAACAAGTATTCGTATGATTTTATGTGTAACTTTTGCAATACAAAATTATATGTAAAACAAAATCAGAATTAAATATGAATATAATTTAGAAGTTTTAAACCAACTACGTTCTGAAAGTTAACTGTATTGCATTTCTTTAATTATGATCCCTTTGACACTGTTAGGTTTCTATTTAAATTCGTCTAATATACCGTATTCCTTCACGGATGGTCATGTATAAATTATATATATATACATGTACATACACAGTATCATCGTAAGACCAGCTCATATTCCTACAAGAATATTTCAGTTTTTGTCATATTTTCGTACTTTTAACAAATATATGTTGTTTCTATGTATAATACTTTTTGAAGAAAAAAATCAATCGCATTAAGTCCATGCCGGTCCTTAGATTTGATCCACAGAATCTGTATATGTTTTTATAAAAATTCAAACTAACGTTGTGATCCATTTTCATACGTTGGTATAGTGTCAAAATGATCCTGATATGTGTTATAACTATGTATTATCAATACTTAATAAAATTCCAACGAATGTCATTTCACACAAAAACGTTTATAATAATATAAAATGCCGCCGCCGTATATTCCGTAGACAAATCCGCATCTATCTGTTGATCTCACGTTTCTTTCAATGCCAGCGTTCCAAACCAAATGCTATAAACTTCATTTCTTCCGTTTGAGAATAATAATACATATACAATTACAAAAACAAATGGAATATAATTAGGAAACTACTTTCGAAAACTTCACACGTGCTCAACAAAAGTGATAACCAGCATCCGATTACCATATTTGTATAAATGTACATTTATTTCATTTCGACTATTACAATAGATATGTATTATAATAAATAAGATAATTTATAACGTATTTTTCAGGAAACAAAAAAGTACGGATAAACAAGATCGAACCTATATTACAAAATTGAAATTCGTCGCTTCAGTAAGATTTCCCGAATCTAAGTTGCTAACTATCAACGATAAGAGAATGGAGTAAAAGCAAAAATGAACTTAAGGCAAAGAGTCTAAGAAAACTGTGTTATTTCTCAAACGAAGACGAGTTCCAAGTTGTTCCACATTCTATTTTTACTTTCTGTTAATCAGATGTATGTGAAATTTTCTATCCCTCTAAAAATAACGAGAATTCAACAATATGTGTACCATTTCCAAAGAAGTGAGTGACTACTTTTTAAATACAGAAAGTAGTGAAAAATGATCTCTGGAATATTTCATAAACTCTTTTTTAAAATTATGTTACGGACAATTAGATCTTTATATAGACATCGTACAACTCTGATCGTAGACTAGTGAACGTTGCAATTCTTACCAGGTTAATTTTCCGCGTTAATTGCCTTCTCAAAAAAAGTTCGGTTTTATAAATAATGAAACTAGTTATCGTACCGAGTACGTATTGTTAGTATCATATAAGAAATGCTTGTATTGCAGTTCTCTTTAAAATCGCCATTCCTGTACAGAATATACAGCCCCGGGCGAAAAGCAGGTACCGAGAGTTTCACACCTGTTTGGAAGGGGGTGGGGGGTATATTGCCGTCCAGGTAAGGTACTTTCCATTGTATCAAAATAGTTTGATTGGCAGGTGTTAAACACAGGTGAGAGAAACTATGGTTTCAAGTTAATTGCTTAATTGCTTTTATGATAAGTGTAGCGGAAGTAGTGGGGGGTGCGAGTCCCAGCTGGGGGTTGACCTCCCAAAGGAAAGTTTTTGAATTCAAGGTCTCTGGATCAAATTCCCGTGTTTTCTGTAAATTTGGCGATTACGAAATTTATGTCTCTGATTTTAATTTTGGAAAAAAAAGTAAGAAAACGTATTTATTGCGATTTTTATTTTATTTTACTATACTAAGGCAAGAAAGGTTTGAAATACACGTATATTAAATATGTTATTCATCAAAATTATGTGTTCTCATTTGCATATAGCTAGAAAGCTACGCGCCTGCACGATGAAAATAACAATAATAAACTAAGACATGTTGTCAGTAGCAAGGTCACAGTTCATCTCATCAAATGATCTGGTTGACTTGTCCAATATTTGAGACACTAACATCCTTTTTTACTAGCCAAAACAATAACCGGCGCTTGGACTCAATGGTAAAGCTAAGCATGTTTGACAACTTGAGACACCCTGCACCCTGTTAGCAGGCAGCTAGCTACCTGCTGTGGGTCAAGGGTCGCAGCCGCCGGTACCTGTAGTGTTGCAAACGCTTTTTACCCTCTGTAAGAATATGGACTAGCCAAAATCAGTCACATTTGGACGAAATATTAAATTCTAGGGTTGAAAGCATATCTCCAAAACATTCTGTGTCGTGTTTGTTTTGTAACATCTGTCAAGTGCGAAGGCCAACCGGACACAAGGCTTCACTACGCTAATTGGAGACGAGACGTTTCGTTTACTGGTTCGTAATATTTCCCTATAAACTTGCAAACAAAGTGTACACACAAAAAAATGGAAGAATTTTACACATCTCCGTTACTCGTCAAAGTATTTCGGCTTCACCTGATTGACATCACATTACGTAATGTACATCAACAGCGCCACCTGTAACTAGGTCGTCGAAAGCAGCTGATTTTCTTTCGTGAATTTATGCAACATTCTGACTTCGAATACGGATAGAGCAAGGATGGTTGTTGCAAATAGCTGACCATCCAAAACACCGTGTGCTGCTTAAACAACTGAAAGATAGCCTCGTGTTACTCGGAGACGTTAGTTATTGTTACCTTACATAATTGTTTTATTTCGACCCGATAATCTGACGTGAACGTAAATGATATTTTTTCGAACGTACCACGTTCTACTGCTATATTGCATTGCATGAAATAGTCGTGCATACAGCATATAAATATAGCATTCGGGCCTTTGCTCAGGTGATTTCTCGGTGGGGCTTTAATCCCCTTCGCCTGCCCGACGACTGTCGCCCGTGCGGGGTTTCAGTACCAAATCACCTGAAGTGTACTGTATATACCTGGTAGCCTCAAATTGCACCTAACACTTCACCAAGTTTTATGCCAAACATAGGAACTCGCTTAACTCGAATACTCGGATAACTCGAAGTTTCCCAACGATCCCGTCGACTTCGATATAACGAGGTTCGACTGTATTGCCAGTGCAATTAAGACACAGAAATATATCAACAGTCAGTAAAATTGGATTAACATACCTGTATTTAAATGCGATAATAAATATAAGGTGTGAACACCTTGTCCAAACCTCGCCACGCAATATATTGCTGAAAAACATCAATATATTGGTCATCAATGTTTTAATCTCAACGATTCTGAATGGTCAAGTTCATTCTCAAATGGTTCATAAATATTAAATGTAATACACTAGTGTTGTGATGGTGCCTTAATCTAAATTACACATACCTTGTACACACTGGTATTTTTATTTGTTCCAGAGAACCTACGGACCCTGGTGGAATGAAGTACCTTCTTCTAGGAAGAAATTTAATAAGAGACAAGCTGATTTCTGCAGTGAAGATTTCATAGGTGAGTATCAGTTGGTCAGTTGGTATATAATCTGCTCAGTCACATGACACCGATGACCTTGTCATAGTTCTTGTATGTAAAACACTGACAACCTTGTCATAGTGCTTTTATGTACGACACTGACGACCTTGTCATAGTGCTTTTATGTAAGACACTGACGACCTTGTCATAGTGCTTTTATGTACGACACTGATGACCTTGTCATAGTGTGCTTGTATGTACGACCCTGACGCCCTTGTCATAGTGCTTGTATGTACGACACTGATAACCTTGTCATAGTGCTTGTATGTACGACACTGATGACCTTGTCATAGTGCTTGTATGTACGACCCTGACGCCCTCGTCATAGTTCTTTTATGTATGACACTGATGACCTTGTCATAGTGCTTGTATGTACGACACGGATGACCTTGTCATAGTGCTTGTATGTAAGACACTGATGACCTTGTCATAGTGCTGTGTGTATGACACTGATGACCTTGTCATAGTGCTTGTATGTACGACACGGATGACCTTGTCATAGTGCTTGTATGTACGACACTGACAACCTTTTCATAGTGCTTGTATGTAAGACACTGATGACCTTGTCATAGTGCTGTGTGTATGACACTGATGACCTTGTCATAGTGCTTGTATGTACGACACTGATGACCTTGTCAGTGCTTGTATGTACGACACTGAAAACCTTTTCATAGTGCTTGTATGTACGACACTGATGACCTTGTCATAGTGCTGTGTGTATGACACTGATGACCTTGTCATAGTGCTTGTATGTACGACACTGATGACCTTGTCATAGTGCTTTTATGTACGACACTGACGACCTTGTCATAGTGCTTGTATGTACGACACTGATGACCTTGTCATAGTGCTTGTATGTACGACACTGATGACCTTGTCATAGTGTGCTTGTATGTACGACACTGATGACTTCAAGCATTTGTATTTTTTCCATTTTCAGAGGTTTCATTTGACATTGAAGTGTATCCCTGTAAACTAGAGATTTGGGAGACCTACAACCCTGGAGCTGTTGTGAAGATCGTGGCCTGTGATAGCTCAAGTGGCTCTGATGTGGATTCTGGAAAAGCCAGGTAATAATAAAAACAATATTGACACAGACTCTGGTAAAGTCGGTGGTAATCACAATAGAAATACATGGAGTCCATGTCTGTATTTCTATTGTGATTATATATATACCACAGACTTTTCCAGAGTCCATGTCCATATTTCTATTGTGATTACCACAGACTTTATTGGAGTCCATGTCTGTATTTCTATTGTCTGTTGAGTGAGTTTCACAGGGCAATTATTTCATTAATTTGCTGTTAACTGTCATGAAATTGATAAAAAAAATGCAAATTTTTTGTTCGAAATATTAACCACATGGATTCAGAATCACGCAGGGTTTAATATTAATCTATCAAAAGATATTTTTTTGGTTTTTTATTGTTAAAAAGAATGTGTTCCTGTAGATTCAAATTGGTTTGATATAAGTGTCCTTTACACCAAGCCATAGTTATTGTTCAAGTTGGATACATTCTCAAGTACTGTTTTATTTAAAGGTGTTGAAATAATTGGATAAGTCAGATAGTTACAGTAACTGAGCATCCTCCCTGAGCTGGTAGTAGATATGTTTTGCTGTAACGAGTGATGGTTACAGATGGCAGACAATATGGAAAGGAGAACCGGAGGAATGTCCTCCTAAGTCCAGGATATTTTCACCTCCCCTAACCAACCCTTTCTTCAAAACAAAGTAAGTATTATGTACGGAGGTTGAAAGAAATGTTCGGACACATCTTTTTGACTACATTTTTTTTTTATATTTTTCAAACATTCTGCTGGTTTTACCCTGACAAAGTTAGTATAATTTCATATTTCATAATTTCATCCTTTCTGCTGTCCGGTAATATATAAAGAATTTGACAAACACAGAACTATACAGAACTGTACTTCATTGTGATGTATACTTTTTGTTAGGTTGGTAAGACTGGAGTTGTGCTCCGTGAAGTGTCATTACTATATATATACAGAACTGTACTTCATTGTGATGTATATTTTTTGTAAGGTTGATTAGACTGGAGTTGTGCTCCGTGAAGTGTCATTACTATATATATACAAAACTGTACTACATTGTGATGTATTTTTTTTGTTAGGTTGATTAGACTGGAGTTGTGCTGTGGGAAGTGTCATTACTATATATATACAGAGCTGGACAACATTGTGATGTATATTTTTTGTTAGGTTGATTAGACTGGAGTTGTGCTCCGTGAATTGTCATTACTATACAGAACCTTACTTCATTGTGATGTATACTTTTTGTAAGGTTGATTGGACTGGAGTTGTGCTCCGTGAAGTGTCATTACTATACAGAGCTGGATTTCATTGTGGTGTATATTTTGTGTTAGGTTGATTAGACTGGAGTTGTGCTCCGTTAAGTGTCATCACTATGTACAGAGCTGGATTTCATAGTGATGTATGCTTTTTTGTAAGGTTGATTAGACTGGAGGTGTGCTCTGTGAAGTGTCATTACTATACAGAACTGGACTACATTGTGATATATACTTTTTGTAAGGTTGATCAGACTGGAGTTGTACTCCGTGAAGTGTCATTACTATATATACAGAGCTGGATTTCATTGTGATGTATATTTTTTGTTAGGTTGATTAGACTGGAGTTGTACTCTGTGAAGTGTCATTACTATATATATACAGAACTGGACTACATGGTGATGTATATTTTTTGTTAGGTTGATTAGACTGGAGTTGTGCTCTGTGAAGTGTCATTACTATACAGAACTGGACTACATTGTGATATATACTTTTTGTAAGGTTGATTAGACTGGAGTTGTACTCCGTGAAGTGTCATTACTATATATACAGAGCTGGATTTCATTGTGATGTATATTTTTTGTTAGGTTGATTAGACTGGAGTTGTACTCTGTGAAGTGTCATTACTATATATATACAGAGCTGGACTACATGGTGATGTATATTTTTTGTTAGGTTGATTAGACTGGAGTTGTGCTCTGTGAAGTGGCATTACTATACAGAACTGGACTACATTGTGATTTATACTTTTTGTAAGGTTGATTAGACTGGAGTTGTGCTCCGTGAATTGTCATTACTATACAGAACCTTACTTCATTGTGATGTATACTTTTTGTAAGGTTGATTAGACTGGAGGTGTGCTCCGTGAAGTGTCATTACTATACAGAGCTGGATTTCATTGCGATGTATATTTTTTGTTAGGTTGATCAGACTGGAGTTGTGCTCTGTGAAGTGTCATTACTATACATAACTGGACTACATTGTGATGTATACTTTTTGTAAGGTTGATTAGACTGGAGGAGTGCTCCGTGAAGTGTCATTACTATACATAACTGGACTACATTGTGATGTATATTTTTTGTTAGGTTGATTAGACTGGAGGTGTGCTCCGTCAAGTGTCATTACTATACAGAGCTGGATTTCATTGTGATGTATATTTTTTGTTAGGTTGATTAGACTGGAGTTGTGCTCTGTGAAGCGTCATTACTATATATATACAGAGCTGGACTACATTGTGATGTATATTTTTTGTTAGGTTGATTAGACTGGAGTTGGGCTCCGTGAAGTGTCATTACTGTGATGTATACTTTTTGTAAGGTTGATTAGACTGGAGTTGTGCTCCGTGAAGTGTCATTACTATACAGAGCTGGACTGTATTGTGATGTATGGGTCTTTACAGCCATTCCCAGATCTTGAGCACTTATCTCTCATACAACAAATGGAGGAATACAAGGTAAGTATGTAGATTCATCTGGAATGCACTTCAGTTTTGTATCATACACTTCTAGAGAATAATATATAAATACACCACGTCTGAAAATCTGTGATTAGTTTAGACACTATACAATCTTCCTTATCATCTTAATAAAAAATCTGTTAGTTCTTTTTCCTTCTTTTCCTTGTTTTATTTCCCATCCAAACATATATTAAATAACATTTATTTAGATTTTAACATTTGGTATTGTTTCACAGAACTACTCTGAGCCAGACAACTATGTTTACATGATTACCTCCCTTATGAACCAAATCAGTGTTGATGCAAGCTCACAAGGGGAGGCACTGGATGGAAATTCAACGATATATGAAAATAAAGAGGGAACAGTTCCTGTCTTGGAGCCTAAAGGGGAGGAGGAGGAGAAAGAGGAGGAGGAGGAGGAGGAGGTGGAGGTGGAAGGAGATAGGGTAGAGGAGCTTCCTATTGATACTACGGCTGTAACACAAGATGACACCATTGTAGAGGACAATGGTTTCTTTGATTTGTTACCAGTGAGTAGCATATATAAATGTAATAACGGGGAGACACAATAGTCTAGTGGTGGGACGCCAGGCTCGTGACCGAAGGGTTGCAGGTTCGAGTCACGGCACGGCACTGTGTAGTAGCCTTGAGTATGATACTTTATTCCGCGTGTTCCAGTCTACACAGCTGTAAATGAGTACGTGGTTGGGTAGCGCTAGAATTGTTGAATGATAGCTGATAGCGCCGAAATGGCGGTATATAAGAACCTCAAATTATTATTATTATTATAATGATAATGCTAATGTAAACATAAAGATATACCTGCAGAACTTTCAAGTCAAGATGTGAAAAGGTATTGGGTCACCTGCCAGTGACCACGTAGATTTTCTCTGGGTACTCCGGTTTTCTCCCATATTCAGAACATACAGACATTTTCTAGTTTCATCATTGTTGTAAAATAAAAAAGTTTACATTATATACTATCATTTTATTTTGTGAAAAAGTATTGCACAATGTCATTGTCATTAATAGCCCCAACATCATTGAAATTGCCAGTGACCTATTATTTGTGTAATAGTTTCCAACTTGTTAATTAAACATGTATTGTATACAGAATTTACATGTACTTCTATTATTAGTAAATAAAATGCTATATGATGAAGATATAATGAGTGAGGATAACAAAGAAAGATATTTATCAATCAAATTAAGTTGATGGTCTTTCTGGAGAAAAATATTTCTATTTTACAGGAGGAGGTCATACAGGTAATTCTCAGTTACCTGGATTTGTCCTCGTTAATCAATACCTGTTGCACATGCAGGTAAGTCTCCATTTCCTTGCTCCAATGAATTAGCTGAATATTTTGGATTCTGAGAAAATTTGGGATGTTTTTCCCTGGGCCAAGTCTTGACCCATCATTGTTGTATAAGTATGTGTCTCACCAGGAAGCTGAAGAGTTAAGTCTTATATTGGAAATAAGGTGATCTTTATTAAAATAAATCTATGCCTTCAGTAAAGGGAGGCTATTCAAAAGGAATTGGTTCAAAATGATAAGCAAAGGAGTGGTGTCCAAAGTGAATCTTTTAAGCCCTTACATGTACTTGATGATGCAAATTTTGCCTGTTCTCAGCTCAGCTGGTTTATAATTTGTTCTTTTGATATACAGTAAACAGTGGCGGATCCAGAGAGATTTTTTCGGCTTCAGGAACCCCCCCCCAGCCTGAGAATTTTCTTTAAAAAACATGTATTATCACCATTTTCCTCCATTTCCCCCCC